GAGAGCCACAATGGTTCAGTGGTTACATACACACAGTTTGAGACCTAAGTGTTGCACAACAGAGTGAGCTCCCGTTCCTGCTCCAGTTCCTGCCCACCTAGTAATATGTGAATGCGAGAAGATTAATAGGTACCACTTTGGTGGGAAAATAACAGCATTGTGTTTCTTTCATGTTTGGTCATGCTGGCCACATAACCACAGAAAATGTCTTCAGACAATGCTGGCTCCCTTGGCCAAGAAATGGAGATGAGCATCATGCCCTAGAGCCAGACATGACTGGCAGGGGGAAAATATTCACCTTCACCTTTATTTCTTCTATGGTGAACTAGGTCTTTGGAGGAAATCAAACACAAGTATGTGTGCAAATTGGTTCATTAAAGAAGATATAATGGCTGCAGCACGTATGTGTCATATATGTGACATGTGTCGTGTTGTCAATCTGACACACGATTGCTATCAGCGGATACCAATGAAGTCAAAATTTAAGGATATTAAAGTGTCATTAATTAGATTCCCCAAATTTGAAATTTGTCTGTATAGGAAGAACTTTGTATATAGCATGCAGACTGCAAAAAAAAAGATGATTATATATACTTGGAAGGATACATACATGGCTGACTGAATTGGCTTATTGAAAGTTATAAACTCTCAGCCACTGGAACAGCTATATATTAGCTGACAGGTAAGAATAGATAATATAATTCCTTATGACCTAGGTTTTACTTGTCAATTAAAAATAGATTATACTATAATAGTTTTACTATTGTAAAAAATGAGAGATGTACTGTGGCATTTTATTTATGACAGACCACTTAACAATTGTTCAAACAGACCCCCCAAATTACTTACAACACTGTTTCAAAGTTATGATGGCTGTAGTAACCCTGCAGTCATTTGCCCATACAACTGACCAAGGGGATGCTGCAGTATCTCCATGCCTCTTTCTTCTTCCATCGGGACCCCACTTGCACCTGGGCTATATAGTTTTAAACTACAAAACATTTTGATTTGTGTCAGTCAGCACAAAGTTACTAATATCAAAATGCTGTTTGTATTTCAATTGTAATAAAAAAAATACAGGTCAGTTGTGACTGGGTTTCATTTACAATTTCACCTATGTAAATCAGTTACATACATAATTACCTATGTTTTAATGTAGTATATTGTGAGAACAATGTTCTTTTTAATAAGAAACCAGTGGATGAAGATAAATGCAACGAATAGTTTTATTTGAATGCATTACAGTGGTCACTGGGCTTTTGGCCAATGGACTGTAAGAAAGCAAGTCCAAAATGAAACAACTCTACAAATAATATATGTTTAGCTTCTAATACCACAGAAAGATAAAAGGAATATTTCAAGTACAATTACACCAGAATGCTTTTGAAACATAAAATACTGAAATGACCTCCATGTTATTTTTCACATTAATGAGTTCCTTTTAAATAATACCAACATGTACAGTAAACAGCATTTTTTAATTGTATCCACATCATTTCACGCCATACCATTCATACTTAGAAAAGAGAGCCATCTGGTCTGTTATCCATCTCCATTCTCGACTGTTATTTATCTGTCAAGGAGACCCCAGGTAGGTAAAGAGCATCTGCTATAATTCAAACCCAACTCTTTGGTGAAAAAAAGTCCACATTCCTAAGCCACAGCCTACCAGGAAAAGATGGAAAGTCCACAGTAATGGGTTAGCAGCTCCAAATATCTTATCAAGTCTAGGTGTTCTTATCAAGTCTAGGTGCTACATATCAGATACAAAATGGTTACTGCTAATGTAAGAGTCACATGACCCAAGCCAGTGCAGCAATATCACTGCTGGGCTGCTTGTGCTCCCACTGCTGCCGGTCCACTGCTGTCAGAATGCTATCATCTGCGAAAGAGAACTGCTCTTATGTGATCTTCTGTGGCCAATGGTGCTCTTGGTGCCACCTCCACTAACAAAAACATGCCACCAACTTCCTCTAGCATTGCCAACTTCATCACTGCACTGCCAACAGCTGACTGGCACACCAGAACGGTGGCCTAGATCCATAACTGCTGGTGTCTTTCCAGAGGGCTTCCTTGCCATCTCCAATGACTAGGAGACAATCAAGAGACACCCGTCCTTCTCGGGTCACCCAAGGAACTCACAAAGAGCCCCAATCAATGTTGGACTAATTAAAAAATGGTTATTTTTTCCTGTACCCATGTTTGTTTCGCTCTTGGAAAGCTTGGGGAACCCACATATCCATACCCTTTCAATTCTATTTACAAGCCTCTATCATCCTAATATTATCCAAAACAAAAACCACCCATAAAGAAGTTTTATTTTTATTTACCAATGTTATGAAACAAATTTTATACGTAATATTATACTGAAGATATCAGAGAATCTATTAATATATATTGTAAATGTTTTTATATTCTTTTTTTTTTTTTGCGAAAATACAGCAGTGTTCTAGATTTCTGTTTGAGTATTTTTTTAAAAATATATTCTTCTGCATAACCTAACACTGCTAAAACAAAAAGGGGATTTTTTTTTACAAATGGCATAAGCATTATTTGATTTCTTACACTATATACATGCTACAGATTAAATAATATTGCTGTGATATTTTCAAATGAGGAGGAAATCTGCACGAGTTATAGAAATACAGTCTACTATAATAGTAACAATATGGCCATAGCCAATAGCTAGGAAATGTGGATTAACGATAAAAATATTTCTAGGCACTTTAGAATATAAAAATTGTTCTATTGAACTGTAGGGCAGTTTTTTTTTAAATCTGGTGGGAGACTAAAAGGCTGGATTTCAATTGCAGGAAAATACTTCTAACCTGAAAATGGCTTGTTCTATCACATCTGAGGAATGTGATTTTTCCAATGGCCATTGGAAATACATTAACCTTTTAGAACAGGAGTCCTCAAATGCTGATACTGCAACTTCTAAAAGAATAAATGAATTATGCAACTCAATCTATCCAAATAACCTAGAACTAATCAGGACTAGGGTTGAATAAGAACAAAATATACCAATTAAAGATATGTAAAGTTTATCAGGCTTCCATGACTAAGGTTTACTCTACCATACTACCAGTAGATCATCCTTAGCTTTTCTTTTATCATCAAACCAAAACATTCCCATTTTGAAAGTCTAGTAATCCAAATTAACAACACATTTCTAAAGAGATTCCAAAGGCTACAAATATAGTGCTACTTCCTGAACCAGAAGTTACTAATGTCAGGAGGGGAAATGCTGCTGCTGAATAGGGAGATATTTTTGACAGAAGGAAAGATCCCTTCTGTTGGCTTGTCCAGTGAAAGTGGAAACTAGGAAACTAACTTAAAGGACAACTCTCTTTTACATTTCAGGGTTTGATATATTCTGTTATCGAATTTAAATGCTGCAAATGTACACATTTAAATATCAACATAATTCAGATTTTTAAAGAAGCGTATATAAAGGATACTTAAAATTCAGTAAGTGAATCATGCCTCTGGATATTAAAAAGTAAAGGATTTGTTTTTGATCTCTAAGATATCATTCAAACTCTTTAAGACGCGTCATTCTTGGATCTGGACCTCATTGTATTTGATTTTATAGTACATTCTGAGTAGGAATTCCCACTGCTATCCAACGTTTTCATATAAACTTTTTACTGCAACTTAGTATTTTTAATCTGGTATGCATTTGTATTTAATTCACTGTTTGCTATTATGCCAATAAAGAATGTAATATAACTAATAGCTATAATGAAGCAAAGAGTTTTATGTAATGCATTCACTTTTGAATAGAAAATACTGCACTGCTTCCTTAGAGTGAAAGAATATTGTGACTGATTACTTGATTATATTGTTGCAGGACCAGCATTTGCATGTTGTGGTAATTTTCTTTTATTCAAAATGCACATATATATTAAAACTTTGCCATTTGCCTTCTTGTTATTCAAAAAAAATGCAGGAATAGTAAGAAATATTAATTCTTACTTTCAAGTGCTTGGGAGGGCTTTTTGTTTTGTTGTTGATTGAGTTAAAAATCATTATAGAAAATCAGTGCGACAGCATGAACTAATAATGCAGAACTATATTGGCCTTTTGTCAGGTAAAAGCTCTGTATTATAACAGAAAGATTACAATTCCACTGGTTTTTTTTCCTAATTAAAAACTGGTGCCCGACTACTTCACTGGGTAAATACCAGAATTCATGTTATTTGTATTTATTCCCTTCTATTCCTAATGGATATAACCTTAATAATACCAATAGCACTTACACTTATATACCATTTCGCAGTGCTTTACAGCCCTCTCTACGCAGTTTACAGAATCAGCATAAGCAA